AGTTGAAGACAAGTTGCGAAGGAGAAGGCGTTTGGCTTATAGCCCAGTTGAGCTGCCTGTGAGAGTGGAGCCGGAGCTTCGCTAGACCGTAATTCCGTTGCAGTTTTCTTTTCTTTTGTAAGTATGTAACGTATTATATTGATGAATCTGTATATTAAATTGTCAGTTTGTGTACCTCGGCTGATTCCTGGACGAGGATTTAATGCACAAATAAGTTCGGAAATTACTAGTGAATTTCTGGGCGTGACACTCTATTGTACTATATTGTTTACTAGAATAGGAAGAGAGTAGAGTAGAAGAAGTCGGAAGAATTCCGGAGTTGTTGGTAATCTTCTTCTGTTTCTTTTATTCTGTTTATTACTCTGAATTCAATATAACATTCTACCTGAGTAATTTAGATTTATCTTGTGAGAATTATCTCTTGGTTAGTTCCTAAGTAGCATATGGGATTATTGTTCACTATAATTAACTAAAATATAGTGATTGCTTTGGTGAGTTATAAACACTAAAGTAGATATTAATTGCTTAGACGTGGTGTTTAGGTAATTGTTATCCAGTAATTGTTGCGTATCCCACAGTACGTTTGAGGTAGGTGTAGAGGTGGTGACAGCCCTCAAGATCACTTAAGTCCTTCCTGTCCGGTACGTAGTAGAGCGACATCTGGGAACAGGGGGTTGCTAGTGCCTAAAGTATTGCATTAGGATTACAGTTAAGATTTCCCTAGACACTGTTTCTCACTAGAAAATTATCTCTATCCTGGCCTATCATTTGCTTGGTGTCCTTAGATGAACCGGAGGAAGATCTGACCACACACGTTCCCTTGGATTCGATACCCTTGGAAGTGCTACATCGGTATATCCGTGCGCTTGCGGATTTTATCTGTGATCGTAATAAATGCCAACATCTGCAAGCTTAGGCTTGATTTTACCCCTGGTCGATTGGTTGGAAGGCAACTCCCATAGCCATTCTATCAGCCGAATGTATGAGTCAATATGGAAATACTTATGTTACATGTACTTAATGAACCGCGGTTCAACTGGCCGGTTCACATTCGGACCGTCAGATCGGTGAACCAGGAGGGGTGACCGGGTCATCTACCGGTCCGGGTTTTTCCACTATGAGCGTGGGTACGGGAGGTTGGGACAGGCGACGTGATGGTCGGTGTCCACTGGTCGCACGAATCCCGTGCGAGAACGACTCGGAGATGAGGGCGGGTGCGGTGTGTTGAACGAGATTGACCACTGCGTCGGCTCTTTGTCGTCTAGCGCGCAACACATGGGAGGCGGTGCGTGATGCGTTGGCAACCGAGCCTCGTACGTCCATCGCGTCACGGCACTGTTGTGCGCAGGCCTATGTCATATGGCACGACATGCGGGGAGAACAAGGGAGGGGCACGGCGCGCGGAGCTAGGGGTAGTGACGGCTCGGCGATACGGCTACGTTTAGGGCGCGGCTCGGCATTTTCTGACGGTGTCGAGGTGCAGTGGATGGGGCGGACTCTAGCGGCGAGCTCGCTGGCGATATGATGGCAATGGGCTCCATCTGGTACGGCGACAGTAGCGAGCGATAGCGTCAGGGCTTCGGAGGGAGAGAGGAATGAGCCGCGGTGTCGGCTCGGCTTGGTCGCTAGCTAGGTAAGAGGGGCAGTGCTGGTAGGCTGCGCCGGCCTGGGCTGGGCAAGGTAGGGAAGAAATAAAGAGACGAGGAAAAGGAAGTGTTAAGGGACCAAACTTTTAAGAAAAGGCACATTTTGCTATAGGACATTGCAACTTCGTGGTTTTAGCTGTAGAACACCGTGTGAAGTGACTTTTGGGGAAGACACTCTCAAATGTTGGATATTTGCTGGTGGACACCGCGCTCATTAAAAATAATAATTTCTGGTTGAATAGGAGAGAGAAATCGCGTGAAATGTGAAAAATATCCTTGGGCCCAATGTCAGCTCTCCTATCTCTCTTCTTTTCTCTCTATATTCCTCCTTCCAGCGTCGCGCACGCCTCCACGACTCGCACGCCTCCACGACATCCACCGCTTCTCCCTCGCGGGCTTCCACAGGCTTTGCGTCGCCCGCGCCGGAGGTGCGACGAGAGTCGTAGCCGAACACACTCCGCACAGCGTCGCCGCGAGCCATCGTGCCCCGCCTCGCCTCGCAGTGCGACACTGGACGGAGGAAGATAGAGAGAGAAAAGAAGAGAGATATGAGAGTAGGCCCATGGGTATTTTTGATATTTCACGCGATTTCTCTCTCCTTTTCAACCAAAAATTATAATTTTAATGAGTGCGGTGTCCACCAGCAAATATCAAACATTTGAGAGTGTCTTCCCCCAAAAGTCACCTCACGTGGTATGCTACAGCTAAAACCACGAAGTCGTGATGTCCTGTAACTAAATTTGCCTTAAGAAAACTGCTAGGCTAGGCCCACTAGGGAGCAAAGTTAGACTTTAGCTTTAAAAACGTGAAATTGATTTTCTCAAATAATTTTAGTTTACAAAGGTTTAAATTAATATGTTCATTTATTTGTAAAATAATTCCTTAAATGATATTAATTCATAGAAATGGCTCTTAGTAAAGTAATTAATATTTGCTTTTATTTGCAAAATACTTTCTTAAATGGTATTAATTTATAATCTGGCTCTTTAAAAAAATATTATTTGAATTCCATAAATAGATTTAGAATTTGAAATTTAATTTCTTATTTGATTCAATTTGGCATTGGCATAACATGAAAAAAAAATCCAAAGAATACCAGCACTATGGACTTTCAAATTTTTTTATTATTCCAAATTTTTGTTTCCATATTTTAAATCAAAAATGTTCAAGGTGTTAGAGATATTCATCTTGTATTCACAATATATTTAGATTGCATCTTCTACTCGTTTGCTTGTGTACTTAATTTGTTTGCAACAGATAGCTTTATTGGGGAGGTCAATCGCGTTTTGGCTTGGTTGATAACGGATAAGTGGTGTAGTGATTGGGAGAGGTTTGATCAATCTGGTTGGAGCCTTTGGATTATCAACATCAGTCTCCAAAATCGACCAATCCAATACCTATTGTAAGATTAGGACCTAATTCCTCGTCATAAAGTATACTTGCGTCGTTACGCATGTTAGCCGCGGCCTGTGGTGCGGCGCACCAACGCAATAATGCAAAAATAGCTCAAGAGTCTGCTCTCTCTTTACAAAATGCGTACACAGTCAGTCCTATTAACATACACCCTACATCAATAAGCAAATATTCAACTTTCAACGAGACATATTTTTTTTTAATATTTGATATGTTGATTTTTTTCAGGTGTTTGACCATTCACCTTATTTAAAAATTACACAATTACCTTTTATTTTATAGTGACTTGTTTAATCATTAAATATATTATGAGCATGACTTATATTTTTGCTTTAAATTTTGAATAAGAAAAATCAATGGCGTCAAACGTTAGAATCAGGAGGGAGCATATTTTATTGTGGCTTTTGATATCTACATAGAAGTATGAACCTTGAGCATATATATATCTCAACCCATAGACGTTTCCTGTTGCCACACGATCTCAAAAAAGCTCACCATATTTGTAAACTACGGACGGTGACAACATGAAAAATGCTCCTGTTAGTATATACTACTAGAAAAAGTATTTTTCCCGGCGTAGGGGTCTTTTTTCGCAGGTGGACATGACCCTTAGAACCAAATAACCATCTACAAAAATATAAATCAGGGTGAAGTTCGCTCTCCGCCTGCGAGACGAATCTTATGTGGTCAGCCTACAAAAATCGTACCTAGCAAAAAAAAAAAATCTTTACTCCTTATCTCCTCCTCCCACCCTCTCCCCATCACTCATTTCTCTATCTCCCTCAACACTTCTCCTCCCGGCCTCCCCTCCACACCTCTCCTCTCACCGGCCTCTCCCCTCCCCTCACCTCTCCTGCTCTCCCCGGCCGCCGGCCGGAGGCGGCGGCGGCTACCGGCGGTGGCGGCGTGTGCTCCCAGTGGCAGCGGCTGCGGGCGGTGGCGGTGGAGGGCGGCAGCGGCAAGGAGGGTTGAGGCGGCGCGGCTCCCGGCCCCTCCCTCCCAGATCTGGCCGGAGGAGGGCGGGGGGAGAGCAGTGGCCGGCGGGCCGGCCCCTCCCTCCCAAATCTGGCCGGAGGGGGGCGGGAGAGGGCGGTAGCCGGCGGAGCTCCCCTCCCTCTATCGTCAGACATGGCGGCGGCGGCGGCGAGGAGGGTTGAGGTGCGGCGGCGGCAGCGGCGGATGACGGCAGGGCGCGGCAGCGGGCGAAGGCCCCAGCCCCTCTCTCCCTCCTGGCGGCGATGGGGCGGACGACGGCGGGGCGCGGCCGTGAGGCGACGGTGGCGGACGATGGCTCCCGGCCCCTCCCTCCCTCCCGTTGATGTGAGAGTTTTTGCTGATGAAGATGGATGAGCTATATGTATAAAGTGATTTTAGGAATGATTTTACATGTGATTTTGTTTTCTTTCTTTGCTTGAATTGATTCTTGTGAAACTGAAATATGGCTGGTGCATGTGAAACTGAATTTTGGATGAACTGGTGACTTCTCTGTTGCTTCTCTGTTGGATTTGGATTCACTGGATTAGATGGGGAATGGGTAGGAACTGTATTAGGAACGGATAGGGAATGGGTGGGAACTGTATTAGGAACGGGAAGCTACCACCAGAAACGGCAATAGCTGCCCATATTTTTTTAGCGTTGGAAGCTATTTTTGCAGGCGGATCAGTTACACGTCTGCGAAAATCAAATATTTTTACAGTCGTTAAGTTGCAGGCCGCTTGCCCGCCTGCGAAATGGTGATTGGCCCGCCTGGAAAAACACTTTTTCCAGTAGTGCTCCTGTTAGCATCTAGCATCGCAGCATCTTTTATACTCTAGAACATTGACAACAGATATATCCATTAATAAGACTCTATAGCTAGGTTAACATGACAAGGTAAAAAGAGAGAAATTTGTAGCCTGCATATCCACAACTCCCTTGATCGAGTATCGTACCAAATCAGCCTGCCATTCAAAAATACCACCACATGCTATATCAGTGTAAACATCTAGAAAATCGTAGTGTCCCACAAACAAAGTCTGATACTCCATCGACTAGCTTCTTTATGTACAACTCTCTGCCTTCTCGAGAAGGAAAACAAGCAGCTGGTTGCACAAGAACAGCCTCATCTAGAATCTAGACAGTATAGCAAGTTCCGAAGTATTTCTTCCATAATACGAAGGCAGCATCAACAGCAGGATGTGTCTGACTTATCAGTAGTCTATTATCAGTTTTGATGTCAACACAACTTGGGAGTGAAGCCTTTTGGCACTCCATTAATTCTCCCCATGCATTTCCATACCATTCGTTGCTTTCATCGTCACAGACGAAAGTGACATCAAATGTTTGAAGAGATCTTGCTTTGGATAGTAAATGCTTCATAAAGCACATTTGATTTGAGTTGTCCTTCACCTTGACTTCAGTCAGGGAAACATATTTGAGGCTTGCAAACAAGTAGCTGCTTATCTCAGAATTCAGGAAGTATTCATAAATCTCATCTTCAGAACTCAGGGAGTCTTCATCAATCTCATCTTCTGAATTCAGGGGGTCTTCGTCAATCTCATCTTCGGAATTCAGAGGGTCTTCATCAATCTCATCTTCATCCCATTCTGAATAAGCAATCTACAAAACAAGGGTAAAATTTTAATTAACTCACTTGACCAAGAGATGTCTTTAAATTGTAACATATCAGTTGAAGGTGTGAATCTAATATTACCGAAATGCAAAGGTGTTCAATGTGCGGAGCAAACTTCAGTAAAGAAGCTAACGATAGAACATTTGAGCGTTGGCCAAAATCTATGGTCAGGCGGGCTTCCCTTATGTTCTCAAACTTGCAAGTAATTCCCTCCAGCATATTAATGTTGAACTGAAAATCATAAGAACATAGTTAGGCCTGACATATGTCCATGGTGCAAGTTTGCATCGACCTACTAATCTAAGCAAACATTCAAATATTACACCATGATCCTGTAGTTAGAAAGGTTCTTGAAGCTTCATTTTCAGAACCTAAGAGCCATATTGTCAGCAATGTTGGGATTTGTATAGGAGTACATGTCTTCAATTCACATTTGCCAAAACACGACATACCATCTCTACAATCTCCGAGTTTCACATTGACCAATTCAGTCAAACTGTAATTAAGTTGTCAAAATACTACTTTCTATCCAAAAACAAGTTAGATCATCCCAACAGCCTTACTCTGAGCAATCAAGGTGAACTAGAAGCAGTAAAAGAATTGTCCTCCGACAACTATCACAACCAAAATTTAGGAGAGAGATCAGTCCTTCTCAGAAAATGATGATGAATACACCTTTTGTTCTGAGAAGGAGTATTCATCATCATCAAGGCCATGACGCAAGGTACTTCACGCCAGTCTGAAAATAGTCAGTTCAGGGAAATGACTCGTGAGCTACTATAGCAGTCAGGTGCGGATCCAAGAACAAAAAATTAGGGGGGCTCAATTACACAATTTCTTCAACCTACAGCAATCTAGAGATCTTTAGTTTATCATTCATGGTGAAAAAATTGAAGGGGTGCTCCAGGGGGTATTCATGAGTCTTGTGGGTGTAGGGGGCACACGAGTCCCCCCTGCACCCACGTTGGATCCGCCCCTGATAGCAGTTGCAGTGTTACTGTGTTAGTGAGTGAAACTCAGTGGAAATGCAGAACATACTACATATATACAAGACATAAATGAGATCAGCAGTGCCCCCAATCAAGTCTGCAAATTACCTGTGTAAATGAGGTAACTAAAATTCATAAATGTGGATGAACATGTACATGGGATTCACAAGCAGACAATGAGGCAAGCAAAGATAGGCGTGTAATGAAAATTGGGATCCAACGAGGTATTCAAATGGTTTGACGTCGTAACTTATCACTGATGAAACAGAGCTTATTGACAGTAGAAATATTCTGGAAAGCATCGAGGAAGTCTTGGGTTCCGAAGAGGCGATCGAATGAGATGGTCGCCTCCTCCAGCATGGGGAGCGGCATTGGTATTCGGCAGCCGTTGTCGTCACCCATCGCCATGGTGATGAAGAGTTCCCGGAGTTTGGGCGCTCTGATGGCCCACGTGTCCACGCCGCCGCCGGTGGTGGTGATCACGAGTGACAACTTGAGCACGGCGAGTTTCTCCGCCGCGACGATGAGGTGTTCGAGCTGCGTGCCGGCACCGGCGAACGGGAGGGTGACATACACGAGGTCGAGGCGCTCGAGGTTGGGGAAGCCCGGAAAGCCCGGCGGCGCCGCCGGCATGTCGCATTGCTCGAGGTCGAGGCGGACGAGTGCGGCGCAGGAGAAGAGGGCGGGTCCGGGAAGGCGGCACGGCTTACGGCCTAACGAGAACTCCAGGCTGAGATCCTGGACGCCCTTCCGCGCCATGGCGCGGAGCCAGCGGGCGGCTCGGAAGACGTCGCGGCGGGCGACGCGGGCGCGGAAGCCGCGGACGGGCCGCGCGCACCGCCACAGGGCGCGGCCGCCGCCGGAGTAGGCACGGGGCAGCTCGATCTCGAGGTTCTTGATCGACTCCCAGCGGCGGCGCTACGCGCGGGAGAGGCAGGAGGTGCGGACCAGCTTGTGGAAGGGGAGCAGCACGAGGATGCGGTCGTCGAGGATGTCCGACGGGAGCGCCATCAGCATGTCCGTCCTGGGCGGCGGCGGCGGCGGTGGCGCCTGGGCCGGCAGTCGCTGGCGCTTGGGGGAGGACGGGGAGGAGGAGGAGCCCGAGGTCGCCATTGTTTTGGAGGTGGAGGTGGAGGTGGAGGTGGCTTGCTGACGACGCTATGATCCAACGGCCTTCTTCTTGAACCTTCCCCAAGATATTTTATAGGGTCAGCCAACGAGTTGGAGGATAAAATCGAGCTAGCCATGTTTAGTTACCAAAAACTTTTCACAAAAATATCACATCGAATCTTTAAACACATATATAAAGTATTAAATATAGATAAAACGAGAAACTAATTGCACAGTCTACAAATCTTTTGAGTCTAATTAGTCCATAATTAGCTATAAGTGCTACAGTAACCTACATGTGCTAATGACAGCTTAATTAGGCTTAAAAGATTCGTCTCGCAGTTTCCAAGCGAGTTATGAAATTAGTTTTTTTCATTCGTGTTCGAAAACCCCTTCCGACATCTGGTCAAACGTCCGATGTGACACAAGAAATTTTCATTTCACCAACTAAATAGGCCCTATGTTGTGTTTTACTATTGCGTTTTACTTCCCACGAAAGGAAGCTACGAAATGTGAATGTACCCCGCTGAAATGGTTCTCTTCTTTTCCTTTGATTATGTAAGTGTAGCTATTTGCGATGTGAGTGTAGCTCAACTGATTAGAATACTTGTGGTGGAATCAACCCACCCAAGTTCAAGTCCTATACTTTACACGGGTGCTCACATTATGGCTAATATTCTTTTGGTGGTAGACGATATGACACGGGTGCTAGCTCACATTTATGGCTAATATTCTTTATGAGGTGTCTGTGATGATTACGGGCAGATCGAGCGCACGGCGTGGTGCTTGCTTGCCGACGTCGACGCTGTGGCGGCGGAGCGAGACGGTGATGTGGGCGCTGTCGTAGAGCACAAAGAGACCGCGCACGGCTGCACACAAATCACCATTTCGGACTTGCCTCCCTACTGCCTCGGGAGGTCTTGGTATCCTGAATCTTGAAAAGTTCGCAAGGGCTATTTGATTGCGATGGCTCTTGCACGAATAGAAGTCGCCGGAAAAGGCTTTGGTGGGGTCAGAAACACCTTGTAATGAAACTGACAAGCTACTGTTTGCAGTGGCAACAACAATACAAATTGGAGATGGAGCGAAAGTGAAGTTCTAGGAGTTGGCTTGGCTTCAAGGGAGAAGATTGAAGGATGTCGCACCACTAGTCCACGCGACCTCTAGGAAAAAGAGCAGGACCCTCAAACATGCCGCTTTAGCAGATCAATGGCTGCACGACCTTGCTCTACCAACAAACGAAGGATGGACAATGGATCTGATTGACCAGCTCATCACCGTTTGGAGTGCCGTTCGGAATGTACACTTCATGGAACATGAAGACCAGATCACCTGGAAGCTCAACAACCATGGCGAATACACGGCCACCTCAGCCTATAAGGCGCAGCTCCTAGGTACAACAACATCGTCGAATTTTGACACATTGATATGGAGGCCTTGGGCACCGCGCAAGTGCAAGACCTTTGCCTGGCTGAAACTCCAAAACATAGTGTGGACATTAGACAGACTAGCAACCAGAGGCTGGCCCAACGGATCCACATGCCTTTTATGTCGCCAGACTCAAGAGACAGCTCTCCACCTGCTAGCGGAATGTAGATACACAAGAAGAATCCAGAATGAAATCGTGCAATGGACAGGCAATGACCATCTAAGACCTTCTAGCTGGCAAATATCTTTGACGGTACATGAGTGGTGGGAGGCCACCGTAAGCATACGGGAAACACCTAAGAAGGCACTACGCACGTTAACCTTGCTTGTTAATTGGGAGATATGGAACGAAAGGAACTGGAGGACTTTCCAGCATAAAGAGTTGCCGGCGCCAACTCTGCTAGCCAAGATAAAGGAGGAAGCAAAAACATGGGGTTGGTGGGCACAGAAAATCTCACCACTTAGTTGACAACGTAACTACCTATAATTGGTTTTTGTTTTTTTTTCGTACATTATCCTTTCTTACAGTTTTCGTCTCCTCTATCCAATGAAATTGGGGGCCTCATTGATTCGTTAAAAAAATGGAGGACTTGATTAGTTGGTTAGGATTAAGTACATCACGGGAAGGATCGAGAATAAAGGAGGCGATCGATGGACTGATCTGGAGACGACGGTGAGGGGCGAAGAAGCGGAGGTAGACGAGGTAGGCGACGATGATATCGAGGGGAAGGCCGACGACGAAGCCGAGGAGGTTTCACGCCCAGAAATTCCCGAATAGAATTCCAAGCAGAATGTGCATTAAAACCCCCGTCCAGGACCGGCCAGGGTACACAAACGACAAAGTTGACATACAGATCCACGTCTTACAAACATCATAAAAGTCTTACATAAATGCAGCGGAAAATTAAAAGATAACTGGAGCTAAGCCTTGACTTGGACTGCAGTGGGAACACCACTCCACAGGAATCCTCGATGGCACGGACGAAGCCTACTCCTCGGAGAACCCACCATCTGACACGTACTCAAACTCTGGGGGTTTTGGGGAAAATAGAGTAAGACTGAGTACAACTACCGTACTCAGCAAGTCATACCGGAATAGAGGGTATGATGTAGGGTATAATCAAAGAATAGCTAGAGCGGTTCATTTGCATAAAGCGAGCATTTAAAGACGGTAGTTGAAAGCAGTAAAACAGTTGTAATAATTACTCAATATTAACCATCCACTGTCCAGCGCTACACCACGTTGTAACAGGCCCAACCATCCACCTGAACTAATCAATTCCATTAGACTAGACTAGGGTGAGACTAATCACAGTGAATCTGGTTGACCGCCCATAACCGCGGGTACGGCTATTCGAATAGTTTTACTCTGATCAGAGGTGTACAACTGTACCCACAAGACACAGCCCCACGACACGTTTCCGTGCGCCGACATGCCACCACGACATACCGGAAAGAGGCCGTGACAGGACCCTTCGCATAACCACCTCTAGCCAAGCACACCACACCTCAGGTTTCACCCCCGTCCCCAGCGGGCAACGGGCAGTCCCCTCTCGTGCCTAGGTGAATCCGGAAGCGACAGAGGCCGTCAAAGGGCCCGCCCCACTTCATCACGCCCACCCTTGCCTGGATGCGTCAACTAGAGGAAAACTACACTACAAGCCCAGCCGTTGCCCACGCTGGCTTGTGGTAAGTACGAGGAATTCTTCCAGGGTTTCCCGCGAACCGGTCCTTAAGTGCCATGGGCGCGACCATCACAACCATGCACCCATATCCCACCATATGGTATATTTTAATTGACTAACACCAGAACGGTGGCTTTAATCCAACACCAACACTAGAACCTGAAGTCTATGCATTAATGTGATTTCCCCCATGGTGCGCTAGTTGAACTAAGCATGGCCAAGCAATCCCTAGTCCAATCTCTAGTCATGTTATATCCTAGGCTAACAAAGGAGCATGGTACAAAAGTAGCATGGCTGTAACAGTAGGTAAACATCCCATAGTATCATTATAAAGCAATGCAGTATTTAAGGGAAAACGGTAGAGCATTTGTAATATAGGATCAACATGTTCAAGTGACAAGCATGACTTGCCTTGCTCTGCTGCTGGAGGAACCTCGGCGACTATTTCAAAGTACACCAGAGCGTTGGGAGAGCCGGAATCTAAGTGACATATAAAGAAAACAATACAAACAGGCTATAAGACTACTGAAACAGATAACAAAACCATTTTTAATGGATTCTATGCATTTTTCTTGATTTACTGAGACTTGAATGGGCTCAAACGGAGCTCGGATGAATTAGATATGAATTTTAGAAGATTCATTGTGTTTTTACTATAAACAGAAAAATCCTTAATTGATTTATTGCGCAATAATTAAAATCCCGGGGAGAGATAGGGCGGCGCCGACATGCGGGCCCCACATGGCAGTGACTCGGGGGGGGGGGGGTCTGCGGTGGAACGGGTCCACGGACTGGGGAAGGAGCGGCGCACCACGTGGTGCATACGTGGCGGCCACGTGGCAGCCACGCGGGCGGCGGGGTTGGACGGCCTCGATCTACCCTCGGGTAGATCAGGCGGGTAGATCGGACGGCGGCAGGAGCGCGTGGCCGGCGCGCACGGGCGGCTCAAGCCGGCCCGGCAGCCATGGCGCACGGCGGCGCGGCTCAACGCAGCGGCGGCGCAAGGCAGCGACCGGCGGCGACCGGCCGGCGGCGGAGGGCAGCGGTGGCGCGGACGGCGACAGTGGCTGCTAAGCGGCGCGGGAGAGAGGGAGGAAGGGGAGGAGGTGGCTCACCGACGGCGATTGACGACGGCGAGCGACGGAGCGCGACGACGGTAGCGGGACGAGCTCCGGAATCACCTAGCGAACACGAAGAAAGGGGTTAGAGAGAGAGGAAGATGGAAGAGGGCGAGGACGCCGGCCAAAGGTGGTGGCCAGGGCGGAGCTCACCGGCGCGCGGTGTGAACGGGGTTCCCGCGGCTGAAAGCGGCGGCGGAAAGGCGGACGGCGTGGCCCTCGGGCTTGCGAACCCGATGGCGGTGTCGGCGCGGCTCGGCGCGGTGGCTAGCGGCTACCGGAGCGGCGGCGGTGGCAGCGGCGGAGAGGAGGGCGAAGGCGCTAGGGCGATAGAAGGCACGAGAGAGCTCGGCGAAATGGAGAAAAAGAGAGAGGGGAGAGCGGGGATGCTTAAATAGGGGAGAGGGGGCTCGGACGTGGCCGGGAGCGGCCCGATTTCGTCGGAGTAGTGGGGAGGGGGTGAGAGGGCATGGCCGGCGGGATTCAAAATTGAATCCCGGCCGTTTCGGCGCGGGCGCGGGCGGGGGAGAGAGGGAGTGGGCGCAGGGAAGGCGGGCGCAGGTGGCGACGTGGGCGACGACGTGGGCAACGTGGCCCGGGAGGCACGGGAGCGAGGGGGCGGCGGCGGTTGCGGGACGCGCGGCGACGGCTGGAGGTTGGGGGAGGACCCGACAGGTGGGCCCCACCTGTCGGCGACCTCGGGAGAGAGGAGGGGGGGCTCGGGCGGCCGGCTGGGCCGTTGTCCCGCCCAGAAATTCTCGAACCAGAATTTCTAAGCTGAATGTGCATTAAATCCCTGTCCAGGACCAGCCA